TCCCAAAAGAGGACCAAGATCTTACTCTACCCAAAAATTATAGACCTATATCTCTTTTGAATGTAGATTATAAGATTTTTTTGAAAATGTTAGCTAATAGACTTATGACTGTGTTGAATCAACTAATACATATGGATCAAAATGGGTTCATAACTGGAAGATATATGAAAAATAATGTTAGATAAATTATTAATTTAATAGAATATTTGGATAAGAACAACCAGATTTCTACAGGATTGATATTTTTAGATGCTGAAAAAGCTTTTGATCAGTTAAATTGGCAATTTATGTTAAGATTGGTTGAGGAAATGAATTTTGGAGATAAAATTTTACAGGCTCTTTGAGCCATTTATCAAAAACAAATGGCACAACTTATAGTTAATGGAGGTTTATCAGAGGTATTTCCAATTGAAAAGGGGACTAGACAGGGTTGTCCATTGTCACCTTTGCTATTTGTTTTAACCTTGGAAATTTTGCTGATCAAAATTCGTGAATCACAAAGGAATAGAAATCAACAAAAATGATTATAAATTAAGGGCCTTTGCAGATGATCTGGTTGTTACTTTGTCTCAACCAACTCATTCTGTAATGGAGTTGTTACAATTGATAAATCAGTTTGGACAAGTTTCAGGTTTCAAGATTAATAATAATAAAACTAAAATATTGTCAAAAAACATGACCAACTTGGATAAGGAGATCTTAGTTAGACTGACAGGTTTTGAGACTGTTAATAAGGTAAAATATTTGGGGGTTATTTTATCTGCTTCCAGTGCAAAACTGTATAAAAATAATTATGAAAGGCTGTGGTTTAAAATACAAAAGGACTTAGAGAATTGGAAAAAGCTGCAATTGTCTCTATTGGGGAGAATAGCAGCGATTAAAATGAATGTCTTGCCAAAGTTTCTTTTTTTATTTCAAATGATACCTATTTTAAAGAAAGAAGCAAACCTAGATGAATGGCAAAAAGGTATCAATAAATTTATCTGGGCAGGGAAAAAACCAAAAGTAAAACTTAAAATTATACAAGATATACGAGAGAGAGGTGGACTCAAGGTACCGAATTTGAAATTGTATTATGATGCTGTGGTTTTAACATTAATTAGTGATTGGGTTAATTTAACAAATGTAGATATACTCCTTTTGGAGGGGTGGGATTTATTATATGGATGGCATGCCTATTTAATTTATAATAAAAAAGTTGACAGGGTTTTTAAGTCTCATATTTTAAGAACTTCTTTACTTCGGGTTTGAAAGAAATATTATAGAATTGATTCAAGAATTCCATTATGGGCTATTCCATGGCATGCAATAGAAGGAATAAGGAAAGGAGTTAAGATGGATAGTATTTCTTATATACAATTACTTAAGTGGGATGGAAAAAATTGGCAATTAAAATCTATGGATGAATTAGCACAAGAAAATATTAATTATTCATGGTTTCAGTACAGACAATTATTGGAAAGGTGGAAGATAGATCATAAAGTGGGTTTGCTTAGAGAGGTTGAGAATTTGCTAAAACAAATTAGAGATCAAAGTCGAACCCATATAAAAAGAATTTATGGTGTATTAGTGGAATTGGATTCAGAAGCAGGATTAGTTAAAGATTGTATAGTTAAATGGGCTCAAAATTTTGATGAACCAATTTTATTAGATACATGGGAGACTATTTGGGTGAGGAATGTTAAATTTACACAAGCGCAAAATTTACGGGAAAATTTCTATAAAATGTTTTATAGATGGCACCTTGATCCACAAAAAATGTCTTGTATGTACTCAAATTTGCAGCCTAAATGTTGGAGATGTGGTTGCTTGGATGCAACGTATTATCATATCTGGTGGTCATGTAAAAGCATAAAAGCCTTTTGGATCAAGATATGGTGGAATATTCAAAGAATTTTCAAAAGAAGGATAAAATTTACCCCACAATTGTTTTTGTTGGGTATTGTTTCTGATTGTGATGACAAAGAGATTATTTTAATGTTAAACTTAATTACAGTGGCAAGGTTGTTAATAGGACAATATTGGAAGAAGGAATTTTTGCCTACTTTGCAAGAATGGTTTCTTAAAGTTTCTTATTTACCTGAAATGGCAAAAATTTCGGCTTTTTTGAAAGATCAATCGCAAGAGAAGTATCTCTTGGTGTGGAAAAGATGGATAAATTTTATACAATATAAGTATGATATAAGAAAATATCATTTAGCTTTTGAATAATTTATATTTAAAGTTTAAGATATTATTTAGAAGTGTAGAATAGTTTTGTTTTGTTTTTTTCCTTTTATTATTTTTTTATTTTTTTTTCTTCTTTTTCTCTTTCTGTTTTTTTTATATATAATGGAGTTAATGTACTTAATAATTTGTTTATTGAATGTAATCATATTTGTTTGAGGTTTATTTGAGTTTAAAAGTTTTTTCTTTTAAGTTCTAGTTAACCCTGTATTCAGCTCTGGGAAGAATGAGGGAGGGTTTTGGGGTGGGTTGGGAAGGATTGGGAAAGGGGTTTTTATTGTAAAATTGTAAAAATTTATAATAAAAAAAATCAATCAATCAATCAATCAATCTGTTTATTACAGCCATAAGGCCAGACATAATCAAAATGTATAACAACAGTAGCAATTTTACTTCCATATTTACAGGATATAAAACCACCAAACATTCAATGTAATATAATCCAAAATTCTCAAAATAAAACATTGTATTAAAAAAAATATTTTCAGACCTTAATAATGGTGCGGTGTATTGTGCAAATGGTGGCACAAAATTGGGCAACCTGAATTGATATTTTCAGATCCTTATCCGAAAGTAGCAACTTTAGATAAAATTCATATCCCCTGCCTGGAAATTTCTTAAATATCGGATATATAAGAATCTGTCTAGAGCCTTTATATAAAGAGCAATGAAGCAACATATGGCTTAGAATTTCTATAGAGCCATCACCACATGGACACAACCGAATGTGCATAGGAATGCCCTTAAACCATCCAAAAAGGACTGCCAAGGGTAATGCATCCAGCCTGGCTAAGGTGAAAGCTTTACGAAATTTTGAAATTGTAATGGAAAATAGATAAGAAGCTGGAAAGAATCTTTCTGGAAGCAAGTGACAAATGTTGGAATGTGCCACCTTACTTAGGTTTGTTTGGAGATCTATATCCCAGATTCGTTGTTTCAAGGCAGTTCTAGCATTATCAAATCCTAATGAACACAGACTTTCCATAGAGAAGCCCAGCGATTTAATTTTATCTAGGGCTTTTTTCCCCACAACGATTTAAAATGATCTATAAATACTAATGGGGCTAAACCTACAGGCATCAAAATTAACTTTAGCCAAAAGGTAAGAAGAAGGAACCATGCTCTAGCTTCCAATGAAACTGTACTTTTAGGTACCAATAGTATGGCTCTAATAAACTTATTTTGAATAATTTCAATAGCATTAAGCTTTGCAAGTGAACATATTTGCGAGCCATAAAGAAGCTGAGGGACTGCCTGAGCTTGAAAAACCTTACAAATTGCCGGGATAAAGTAAGCTCCCTTTGAATGATAAAATTTTATGATAGCTGATGAGGTATGCTGTGCTACACTTGCCCGATAAAGAAAATGAGTATTCCAGAATAGGAAGGCATGAAATTGCACTCCAAGATATTTATAGGTACGCACCTGTTCAATTGAAGTCCCATCAATTTGCCATTTATGGATCTTATGATGGTAAGAGGCAAATACTAAAATTTTAGTTTTTTCATAATTTATCAAAAGTTTGTATTCTGTGCAAAATAAAACTAGTGCCCTAAGTGCTTTTCTCATTCCCACCTGAGAAGTGGACAAAATGACTATATCATCGGCATACAATAGTGCTAGAATTGCACGATCAGCCAAGATAGGTGGATGATGGGCTGGATCAGCAAGTACTTGCATTATTGGATTTAGAAACAGATTAAAAAGTAGTGGAGCTAATATGCAACCTTGCCTTACACCATTATAAGTTGGAACTGCTTTAGATAAATGTCCCTGGGGGTACATCTAATTTTTAGGGAGGTATTTGAATAGAGTGACTGAATAAGAACCAACAGCCTTTTATCAGTCGTGGAATGTCTTAGACTATACCACAATCTCTCCCTTGGTATTAGATCAAAAGCTGACTTAAAATCAACAAATGTTGCATAAAGAGAACCATGAGAGGGGGTAGAATATTTTTCAGCCAAATGATGCAGAATTAGACAATGATCCAGTGTTGAACATTCCTCCCTAAATTCAGCCTGTTCTTCAACAATAATATTTCCATTTTGTACCCAATCCACTAACTTTGTATATAAAAATCTGGCATAAAGTTTATTTATTGTATTTAATAAACTAATAGGCCTATAGTTTACAGGGTCAAGTCTACTTCCTTTTCTTTTGTATATCAGTACTACAATGATTCCAGTCAGGTCCTATGATACAGCTTATCCATTTCATACCTTCCAAAGATGTTTGGGCAACAATTTCCTATAAGATTTCTCTGATTCGTGTGTGTGTGTGCTTGAATTATTTGTAAAACAAAGGCAGAATACAAATAAATAAAATAATATTAGAGTTTTTAGAAAACTAAAGAATTGATTATTTGCATCTATGTATTTTTGCTCATTATATGAAGCCTACCATACTATATAAAGTAGTCTTGGAGAATTCTGAAGTAAGAGTTTAGGTAGTGGTTATTTTTTATATTACATATTTATATTTTATAGTATGTTATCCAAAATGAAATATTTCACCAAAATAAGGCATTTTCATTTCAAACAATATAAACCAGTCTTAACAAGAACAAAAATCTAGTTCTTCAGTCTAGAATGATTTTGAATGTCCAATACTGATAATGTAGTGGAGGATTTCCATTACAAAAATCATTATCTGTTTGTATATCTGTATATCTATATATATATATACTGGGAAAAAGTGATAGAGATAAATGAGAAAATGTAGTTCTCCTTTTTTTACATTTTTATATGGTACCTCTTTTTTTTCATCCTCAGCTGTAAAAACAAGTTATACTTGGAGAAGCTCCCAAACACTAGTATAATTATCCCATTTCATAATGAAGGTTGGACTTCACTTCTGCGGACTATACACAGCATTATCAACAGGACACCAAATAGCCTGATAGCAGAAATTATTCTTGTGGACGACTTCAGTGATAGAGGTAAGGAAAAAAGCGAACAAGATTCACATCACAATTGTTGATTACAATTTTCTTACAAATTATAATTCTTCTTTGGGGAAAATCTTTTTTTTCTTGTAGGAACTTTGTGTTCAGTTTGGTATTATTAGTAAAAAAAATATTTGGCTTAGTTCTTTTTTTCCCATTACATTATGTAGAAATGACAAAGGAAGGCTTAGAAGTTTTGTGTTTCCTTTCCTCTAAGATAGAATAGTTAAATTGTTGAATGTATTTGTAGTTTTCTAGATAAGTGTGAGTATGTGCATGCCTGTTTATGTGCAGTAGCAATAGTAGTATTCATCTGAATGAAAACCTTTTAATAAAGATGCTTTATTAGATTTACAACTTTTATATTTTATTGCATGATGCAGATTAACAGTTGTGCCCTAATAATGAGGTAGTACATTAGAATGATAATGTTATAAATTCAATTTTTTAGGGCTAGAAAGAAAAACTGTTAAAAAATATGAGTAAGCTCAAATTCTTTGGGACCAATCCAGCAAAATCAGATGCATTTCCATCTACTGTTTCTTGGAACTAAATTTTGTACTTAACAAAATTCTATGTATGTTCATTGTACTCATTATTCTACTTTATTAGAGAACTAATGTAATTAATATTTAAAGCATTAGACTAGACCTGTAAGAGGTTTAGATTGAAATCTGTGTTTATACATTGTTTTTACAAGACTAATCATTGTGCCCAAAATTCCTTATGAGCTTATATTAATGATTCATCTCATATAAATAGCCATTTTTATGGTTATCCACTTTTTAGAAGAAAAGCAACTTATATATTGCAAACACATAAATAACAGCACTTGAAATTAAAGTATAATGTTGCAGTGAAACACATTTAATCTCCAGTTAAATATACCCCATTTTTACTAAGGTTTAGAATATGATCCTAAGTATACTCTCTATGTTTCAGAGTAAGCCTGGTGAAATGCATTGATGCAACTTGCATTCTAGTGTAGCATTTCTTGAAACAGATTGACAAAAAAAGTAAAGCTGCTGAATCAGATTTAACTCTAAGTAACTTCATGGATATGTCCACTGGGTTTGCTTAGCCTCAATATAGAAAAGCTTTGTCATCTCACAAGCTATTATTTTTTTACCTCCCAGTCTAACTTATAATTCTGAGATTTATGTTCAAATACTAATTTGATTCAATCTTTCTCAGCTTTTTGAGATCAGCAGGTTGGGTGATTTATAGATTTAGAGTATCTCTATTTAATATGAGACCTATTTATACTATGTGAAATTCCTTTGAAATCTCCTTTGCATACAAACGTTTTCTTTTATATCTTAAAAAGAGAAATGATTTAGTAAAAGCCTTTCCTGGAGGTAGGGTACCATTTTAAAATATTTCTCTTTTTTGTATAACCTTTGCTTTTAACCTTTTCTTAGTTGTTAATTTGAATGCTTTTAGTTCTTTTTTATTTATGCTTTTTATATCACTGTTATATGTCCACAGTTACTTTGGATAGTGAGATAAACAGCATATAAATTTAAAAAATAAATAAAACCTGCCATATCAGCTCCAATATTATTTGGATTCTCCAATTCTCCTGAATGAGTTTCGAAAGTTGCAATTCTCCAGAAGGAGTTTCAAAAGTTGAAATTTCTAACAATAGTTAGAAACCCAATGGTTAGAAATCGCTGTCTTGGGAACTTTGCAACCAACCCTCCTTAAAAAAAAAATAGATTTTCCACCTCTATCTTTAGTTTGAATAGATATAATTTCATTGATTCCTTAGAAGATTTGCAGACATGTGAAAAATTCATTTTCATATCTGTTGCTAACAGTTGGTTCAGGGCAACTTCTGTTTCTTTGTAATTTGATGTAAAATCAACTTTGTTATTTTGTTGCAAATATGTTGCATTAATTATTAAGGTTGATATTACATGCTTTAGATGTGATTTCGTCCATAGCAACTAAGCATTTATCAGATGCAAATATTGTCTTCATTACTATTTCCAGTCTTTGGATGAAATGCTTATCTTACTCCAGATGAATTGTTGCAAACTTTTTCTATAATAATGCTATAGATAGTGGAAATATTTGAATTTTGTTGTTCTTGGATGATAAATCTTATCTTTTGCACAATTAAGAGAAAGAAATAAGATGTGCCTCAAAAACATAGTTTTGAATTTGTAGTTTTGAAGCTAAGTTGGTATGTGATATACAGAAGGAGTGGCTAAATATATGCTTTTCATTGGTTTATGACCACAATAATTATGTGATTTGAGGTAAATATATAGTAATAGTACCAACATTTTTAGAGAAAAAGGGGAAATGAGAAATGAAAACAATACCTGTGTACAGTATTTCCTTGAGTCCAGAAAAGACATCTAAGCTTCTGCACTGATTACCAATAGTCTTCTGTTGAACAATCTGTGTAGGAACACCAGAGAGAATTTCAGCAGAAGCCTACTAGTAATTAGTGCAGCTCACAAAGCAAAATTGTGATAATGGCCATACAGTTCAATCTGCTGCCTGCTGCATCTCCCAGTGGAATTTTAAGAGCAACCCCATGTAGACCAAATTGCAGTAATACACATACTGGATGATCAAAGCATGATGATTGTCATAAGGCTCTCCTGATACAAAATTGGTACACTGGAAAAATGTATGAAGCCATTGTGTGAGCCTCATCTGCCATCTGCCCCTCAAGGAATAGTTGTGAGTACAAATTGCACAACAGTCACTAAGAGGAAAATGCAACCCCACATAAAGGGCTAAAGCTGAAACATCTCCAAACCTGGATGGGTAAAATACATGCAGTCGCTCAATCTTGCCAGGGCTGAAGTAAGGTTTTTCTTCCCTATTCAAACTTGCACAATCTGACACTATGGCATATGTTTTATCATACCAATTCACCAATTCTGAGATTATATGGTGACATATATTACTATCACAGAATAAAGTAATATCCCTAAATTTATATGTGAACCCCTTCTCCACATTCCAAGTAGTCACTTTCTATGGAAAAGATCCATACTAGATCCAAACAACAACTCCTACCAGAAAAAAGCAACAATTTATTAATATTCTATGTGAAACAAATATTTCTTTCTGTCAGTTCCAAATCTCTCCGCATATAGCTCCAAAAGATGGTCTGGAGTTTTGTCCTTGTATGATACATTTCTTTGTCAGAGAACTGTTCCATCACTTAATAATTCTTGGTTGCCCCCTTTTTGCTTTATATTTGCTTTTACAAGGTACAGTGACAAGAACTGTGCATAATAGTCCAAGTGTAGTCTTACCATGAATTTCTATAAGGACAATAGTATTGTCAGTTGCCTTCTAATATTCTCAAATATAGAATTAGCTCACTGAATTAACCTTTTCATTGAGTTGTCCACCAAACACCAGGATTCCTTGCTTGGTAATTTTTACTACATTCATATTCCTTAAATGTCTTCAGACCAACTAAGATTTTGTATAATAAGAATTTTTATTATAAAAATATTTTTATAGAATGTGCTAAAAGGAAATAGTGGAGATACATGCAAATCAAAACTGCAGATATTTTGCAAGGTCACAAATGTTTAACTCCATAACATGGCTGTAAAAATGCATAAAGGAAGGAGGCAGTTCTGCATTTCATTTTTTATATTCTTACTTATGCTAACATAGACACACATATAAAGAACCATCTGTGACAGACTAGAAAAATGTTTCAGCACATGGCATATCATTGAATATTCTGCCAAACTACTTTGATAATTTATTTTGTGGATTATATACATTTTCCCCTGGGCCCAAAATCTGTAAGTATCTTTAATTTAAAATAATCATTTCTGGTACTTAAACTACACAGAATTGGAAGGACAAATATAAATCTTGAAAACACTATGCAAGACTCCTGGAATAGTTAGAAAAGGGAAAAGGAGCTGCTCAGAATTGCCTGAACGGTGAGTTGGGTGGCAAACACATTTGATAAATGAAGTGAAATAAAATAAAATAAAATAAATAAAAAGGAGAAATGGAAGCTAAGCCAATGTTCAAAATCTTTAGAATATTTTCCTGATAATTATGCATCAAAAGCCTGAGTAAAACTTACAATTTCACACAGAAATATTATCCTATATTTTTGTAAATTTGATATGTCTACCTGATTTTGTCTGAATTGAAGATTAGAGATTTGAAGAAACTGTATTTTTGTTTCTTTATTATTCAAATAGCAACTCTCCAAATTTGATGCATGCAACTGGGCTGGCAAAGGGAAATTTCCTCCCTTTCTCTATCTGTGAGGCACTGTTGAATGGAATGGGCTTTGTTAAGAAGATGAGGGATCCCAGAACGTCTAAAAAACATTGTGTGTGTGTGTGTGTGTGTGTGTGAGAGAGAGAGAGAGAGAGAGAGAGAGAGGCAAAGTTAACAATGGCCATAATGACTGAGGGAAACGTCAGGTTGTTAAGGCCTTTTGGAAGGCCAATGTGGCTGGGGCCATTTGGGTCTAGGGGAGGAGGCTTTCCATTATAACAAACTAATTTTTAAAGCAGGATAGCAGGATTATCAATAGAATAGCAAAGTTCAAGTCAGAGGAGAGGAAGACAGCTATATAAAAATCAAACTAATTCTCTGAAAAGTGGCTGCCTCAGGCAGCACAATTCTAGTATAGTTAGAGGCAGTGAAATGTCAATTATTAATGCACTGCAGTTGCTTTTCACTGCTTATGGGATTATCTGCCACAAGGAATAGATTAGTTTTGAGTACTTTATGCTTTGACTTGGGGGAGGAGCACCATTTTTCAAGGAAAGCAAAAGGTTTGGTCCAGCTATAGAGGGCGAAGACAAGTTCATTATTTCTGCCTGTTATCCTTTTTCTCATTCACTTTACTTGACTGTATCAGAGGCTGCTTCAATCTGTGAGTGTAACTGTTTGTTGGAAGAGCAGGATTCTATCATAAGCAGTGTCAACATGATAAAAAAGAGGGTGGTATACTCACCCTCTTCTTGTAATGTGTGATCAGAAGGACAAGAGGAACAGAGCTTGGATGTTTATCCCTTGCCTGCATTTTCTCTTTCAAGGGCTATATTGTCTTTCATATCCTGTTCCCCACTTTTAAGTTCTGCATCAAGATACATCTTTGCCAACATTTTTGTTTTCCATTTGAGAGCATTAAAAACATCTATTTGACATAAGACAGACCTTTGGACATAATTGGTTTTCCTTGCTTTTAGCAGGATTAATCTGTTCTATGGTGGTCACAAGATTAGCTAGAAACACAATTTTTGATAATATGCTAATTATGACCTTTGCAAGTCAGTCCTTTGTTCTTTCCTTAATGACTGCATTAGCACTGCCAATCCCATCAACAACTAACACTTGATGCTTAGTGAATAATTTTGAAATCCTCATTTGTCAAGTAGTTGTGTCTTTCACTCTAATTGTCTGCAGTAAGTTTTTTTCACCCCTACTTAGATGTTAATTGGATGAAAATAAATTACTACTGTTGACAGTGC